AGCACCTATCAGCCTATCTAGGTTTTAAGCCCCACATGCATTAGGTATTTGCCCTAATGCTCTCCCTCCCCTTACCCCCACCCCCTGAAGTAGAAGCACATTTGCACAGATTCTAGAGTAATGTACACAGGTGGCATGGACAAATGTGTTCTCTGCAGTAGTGCTGATAATAATTAGGCATGGTTAGGGGACAGTTAGTTCACTGTTGTCATCTGTGTGTGCATCTACGTAGTGCACAATTGTTCATCAACAGCAGTAAGTGCCTTCAGCAGGCATCAGCCGCCTCCCATAACCTCTGAGCACTCAACTCCTTGCACACCAACCTGGTTACCACCAACACCTGCATTTCTGTGCCTGGGGGCTCAGTCTAGCTGAGACCCAAGCCTGGCCTACATGCAGGGCAAGCAAGACATGCTGGAGCCTCCATGCACCTGCAAGGCTGCCTCAGCCAAGTGAAGAGTACTGGTAGATCAATACCCCAGCTCCCTCATCCCTCAAGCAGATAATCCTACAGCGTACATTGCAAAATCTCCCAGAGGTTCCACAGCAGGACTGAGCCCCCATCACCCACAGTGGCAACTGGCTGGATAACACACACCTATTACCGACTTCCTGCCTTTCCCTGTCTCACTTCCATACTCCCCTCCCAAAATTTCACCGCCCCGTGAGTCACTTTTACTGGAATCCTTACCCTGGGCTTGCTCTGAGAGAGCCCAGGCTGAGACACTCAGTGTAGCTACACTGCTGGGTGACACACAGCGATTTACAAGGCTGAGGTCGGGTGCCAATGTACTCATAGGAAATAATAGGCAAAGGTCTCTAAGAAATGTTCTGGAAATGGAAAATACGAATCTGCAGAAAAATATAGTTTTGTTTAAAGCACATACAAAATTTTAGGATAGAGTTTCATGTATGTTTAGAAGGACCAAATTGATGACAGTGGTTAGCTTGGTAGAAGAGTCAAGATACATGAGATTTTACAAATTAAATATATAAATTTAGTACGGAAGTAATGAAAAAAGTTGCAGGGCAGATTATGTGTGTACTTGGACATGCACACATAGAATTGTGTATCCACGTCCACTTTTGTTGATGCACCTGCGTGTTTTACATCAAGACATTGCGTGTGTGTGTGTGTATGTTTGTGGATGCATGGGAAAAGGTCTGAATTCTGAAAAGATACACCAGACTCTTAATAATGATCGCCAATGGGAATTAGGAACAGGAAATATTTATCGGGGGACTTTAATGTTTTACTTTATACATCTCTGTGAGATGTGACTTTTTCGGTGAGCATCTGCTGCCCTTCGAATCTGACAAGGTAAAATAATTTTGTTTTTTACTTTACTGTACTGATTTAATTCACTTTAACTAGGATTATATTTGGGTTTCTTTGAGACAGAGTCTTGCTCTGTTGCCCAGAATTGAGTGCAGTGGTGCTATCTCAGCTCACTGCAACCTCTGCCTCCCAAGTTCAAGCAATTCTCCTGCCTCAGCCTCCCGAGTAGTTGGGATTACAGGTGCACGACTCCACGCCCAGCTAATTTTTGTGTTTTTAGTAGAGCCGGGGTTTCACCATGTTGGCCAGGTTGGTCTCAAGCTCCTGACCTCGTGATTCGCCCATCTTGGCCTCCCAAAGTCCTGAGATTACAGATGTGAGCCACCACACCAGCTGATGTATCTGGGTTTCTTAAATTGATACATAATAGATGGACATATTATTGAGGTACATGTGATATTTTGATATACCCATATAATGTGTGAAAGTCAAATCAGGGTAATTAGCATATCTATTACATTAAACATTAATCTTTTTATGCTAGGCATGTTCAAATTATTCTCTTGCAGCGATTTTGAAATGAGCATAACTTTAAAGCTGCTCACACATACTCAGCTCCTGTGAAAGTTGTTAACTTTTCCAACTTGGATCTGTGAATACACATCTTAATATGTTTTATTGACATAGAGGGGCGCTGAGACCTGTCTGGATGGAGGGAAACGACGGAGCTGTTGAGAATGGTCTGGTGGATTTAGACAGGAAATGCTGCCTCTGGAGAGACTAAAATGTAGCAGCCACTGAGGTGTCCTTCAGGCAGCTCTAACTTCCTCCAGACTGGAGCTACTCTCAGAGAGCCTCCTTTTCCAAGTCAAACGTGCAGCCCATCTCAGACTCACGAACTAGACCCACTCTTTCACACAGTCATGAGGACCTATTTTCTAATCGCCCTCCCTTCACGGGGAAATAATTCAAACATTCCATTCCCTTCTAGAGTGAGAACAAGAGCTAAATTTAAATGCAATAGCTTAATGATGCATCTGCAATTCCAAGCAGCCAACAATCTATCAAAAAAAGACCAGCTCATTCCAAATATAGGAAAGACTCATACACACATACATCACTCCACTCTAGCTTCCAGCCCCAGAATGACCAAAATTTAAAAATATCAAAAAAGTAATAAGCCCTCAAAATAATCTGCTTGTGATCCCTAGGAGAACAGATTGGCTTCTGCATCCCATAGGCCAAGTGTCATAAATGCACTGGAAAAAAATTACAATAACCCATAGAACTCAGTTGAAACACACTCTTTGAAAGTGTTCTTCATGATACTATGTCTTTTTAGGGCATACAGATAAAGATATTGTCATAAATTATATTCATTGAAGAAACTGATACCATTATGTTAATAATGAAAACAAAAGGGCTTTGAAATATTTTTCAGGAATCTGACCCACCTCCAATGAGGCTGCCTTTACTATTAAGTGATAATTAGTGGTTCTATTGTAATGAGAAACAAATGATTGCCGAGTGTATATCCTGCATTGGAAACAGTTAAGTTTCACATCAGACCTTCTCTGCCGCCTTCTATGGAAAATGAATGCATAAAATAGGAATCAGAGGACTGGGTGTGGATTTAGGTCTACCGAACACATACTGGCCAGATCCATTACCACCATTATCACAATGACTACAGCCAGCATCACCATCAGCTCCTCTGTTGCCACAACTACCGCCGGCATCATCACCATCTCCTCTGTTGCCATGACTACCACCACCAAAATCATCACCATCTCTTCCATCTCCATGACTACCACCAGCATCACCATCATGTCCTCCATCACCATGACTACTGACATCACCACCATCTCCTCCATCACCACAACTACCGCCGGCATCATCACCATCTCCTCCATCACCACAACTACCACCAGCATCACCACCATCTCCTCCATTGCCACAACTACCACCAGCATTGACACCATCTCCTCCATCACCACAACTACCACCAAACTCATCACCATCCTCCCTCACCATGACTGCCAAAATCATCACCATCTCCTCCATCACAACTACTACATCATCACATCTCCTCCATCACCATGACTACCGCCAGCATCACCACCATCTTCTCCATCACCATGACTACCACCAAAATCACCATCTCCTCCATCACAACTACCGCATCATCACATCTCCTCTGTCACCACGACTACCACCAGCATCACCACCATCTTCTCCATCACCATGACTACCACCAAAATCATCACCATCTCCTCCATCATGACTACCACCAGCATCACCACCATTTGCTCCATCACTACAACTACCAAAATCATCACCATCTCCTCCATCACGACTACCACCAGCATCACCACCATCTATCTCCTCCATCACCATGACTACCACCAAAATCATCACCATCTCCTCCACCACCACAACACCAGCATCACCATCTCCTCGATCACCACATCTAGCACCAGCATCATCACCATCTCCTCCATCACCACAACTACTGCCAACATCATCACCATCTCCTCTGTCACCAGGACTACTGCCAGCATCATCACCATCTCCTCCACCACCACCATGCTTACTGGAATCTGAGACTCAGACTCATCTGCCAAGCCCAAGCAGGGGCACCAAAGGTCCAGCTGGTTCACCTTCTGCTGCACGATCAAATGCAGGTGGAACAGTCAGTGCCACCAGTGCCGAGCCGGCCATGTCAGGGTTGAAAATCTTTGATAACAGCAGCTGTTATTCTTACTACCCAAGATTGTCTCATGATTACATGGGGTGAACTATCGCCCTGAGTTCAGATCACACCTCTGCACAGGAGATCTCAAACCAAACATTTCACAAGGAATGAAGAAACCAGCCTAAAGTTCTCTACTGAACACTGAAACGGACCGTCAAACTGTGGATTTTTCCCTGTATTTAGGTGTCAGTCAGGTAACTCAAACTCAAAACTGGGCTTCAGCGCAAACCTGGATATGAATCTCCCCACACTTCTACTGCTCTCTCAGTCTTTCTCATCTTAGGAAACGGTCTTCCCCTTCCGCCATGTGCCCCAGACCAAAAATATGAAGGCCATTCTTGTCACCCCCTTACACTCCCTCTCAGCCCAGTCTATCACAATGGCTAGCAGGTCCTGCTGCCCAGATACATCCAGGACCTCTCCAATGACCCTCACGTCCACTACCATCCTGGTGCAGGCCTGTAGGCCACCCTTGCCAGTCATGTGGACTACATGGTCGCTGCCTAATCCTCTTTGCTCCATGCTTACCTCCACCTCCGTTCAGAACTGGGAGTGATCTTATTAAAATAAAAATTGGATCATGTCACTCTCCACCTAAAATCAATCACTACTCTCTGGCCATTGTTCTTCAGATTTAGAATCAATACCCTAGCACAGCCAGCCCTAAGGTCCTGAATGAACTGCCCTGTCTACCTGCCCCATCTGTGCTCCAGACACCCAGATTTTCAGGCATCAAGTTCTTTCTTGCCTCAGGGCCTTTGCACAGCTGTTCCCCATGATGTTCCTCTCTCTGTGAGGGTAAGGACCACATCTGCTCTGTTTACCACTCCTTCCTCTTAACTAGGGGACATACACTTGGCACCCGATAAATAGGCCTCGAATAAATCAGCAAACTGTGAAAGAACAGACACAGCTCCTAACCGACAGAGAGGAATACTGCTTCTGAGAAAAGAAAGGACGACTTACCACAAAGTTTCTCTGCTGAGTTCCTGGTCTCAGGACAGGAAGTGGGAAATTTCCCCAGGGGTCTCCCAAAGCTTGGGTCTGGTCGAATGTGGCCTCAGCACCTGCAGGCTTCAGGTGTGGCGGGTCATTTCCAAGCTGCAGGAAGAAGCAGACACAGTCTTCTGTCACCAAAGAATGACTCGCAAGTTTGTCTGTCTGCCTCCCTCACCTTCCTTGATGCCTAAGAGCCACAGAGAGGCAGGAATTCTGCTGCCATTTTCCAGTTCAGAACGCTGAGGGCTGAGTGAAGGACAGATTTGAAACTGAACTCATGGTCCTCCCAGCCTGAGATTTTTCTTTCCCTGCAACCAAATTTCCTGGTATAGAACAATGCAACGATACAACACAGCCATTGACGCGAAGCTTTCATGACTCCTTGAGTAGACCATCATGTTCCTGAATTTGGCACGAGAAATGCACTTAGGGCTAATTATCCAGGTTAGACAGATGATAGCAAGGGACAGAATTGAGGGAACAGGTCAGTATCTGGGCATGCACTGAACATATCCTTAATTATCAAGACGAGACTGATGTCCAGCCAATGACAGAAAGAGTTATTATAGGTCAAATTAATTAATAAAAATCAATATAAAAACCAACAAGCATGTTACACAGAGTAAACTCTTAAGGAATTCGCATCTTGGCCATCAAATATTCAAAACCAAAAACTCCTCTATATCAGTAGACCTTCATGTTGACATACACAATCAAAATGTCAGAAATTTCTTTACTTCTATTTTATTAAAAAGAGTCATTGACCTGCTCAGAATCACAGAATAAGATGATAAATTGAATTAACTTAGGTTTTATTAAAAGGCTTGCTAGTATCCTGTGTCCTTATGAACCAGCGGGAGTGAAAGGAAGGATAAAAAGCAAGTGAGGCTTTATCCTAGAACTTGGAGCTGAAAAACCATCTGTATGGCCAAAATTCAATTTATTTCCATTTAGCAAACATGTTCTGAGCGCCTGCAAAGTTCCTGACAGCTGTTCGGCCCAAGCATGAGTAAGATCGAGGCCTTCCAGGACTCTCCGTCTGACGGGGAATACCAGAACAGGCATGCATAATGTTAGTTCAAGCTGGAATTTAGTAAGATTTAGAATTTTGCGCAAGGGATCTGTGAGGGAAAGACATCTAGGCAGGAGACTGAAGTTTATTTTCTAGAGATGTTTAATGAGGGAGCTCAGGACTCACATGCAGCAGGCAGAGGTCATAATAGCCAAGTGCTATTATATTGAAAATAAATTAGTCCGCCTGTGGATACCCCTCCCCAGATCCAATGCATTAAGCAGGTAGCTGGATGCTACCCCACACCACTCTCAACCTAGGCAGGAGGCTGGAAATATTTTGGTAGAAAACTACAACCCAAGAGCAAAGACCGTGTTTGACATTAGGAGCTTCTACAACAAAATGTGTTCGGCTCCCTTGCAGCTAACCTGGAGTGAGCTCACCACTGACTTCCCCCAACCTGTCAAGACTATGCTCTAAAAGCAGTCAACCAAGGGGTACAGCTTCATTTTAAAAACCTCTAACACGGAAGAGTAAAAGAACGTAACAATAAAACCCAGAAGACGAGAGATCATCCAGGCGACCAAACAAGGAAAAAAAAGAAAAAAGCAATAAGTTTAACAAGTATCTTCAGAAAGCATGTAAAAGTCAAGAACAAGATGCTAAAAAGGCCAATGAAGGACAAAAATAACTCCTGTGAATGCAAAAGATAGTTGCTGAAATAAAAATTTTAATGGCAGATTTGGATGATAAAAGAAATCTCCCAAAGTGCTAGAAAATATTAAAGAAAAAAAAGAGACTATCAATCCAGGAGGTCGAACTTTTACCAGTAAGGTTTCCAGAAAGAGAATAATAACAATCAGTTGACTGATTCCCAGCCAACTACAGAAAGAGTTATTATCGGTCAAGTTAATTAATAAAATTAATATAAAAACCAACAAGCATACTACGCGTAAACTCTTCGGGAATTCTCATCTGGGCCACCAAATATTTAAAAACAAAAATTCCTATATATATATCAGGAGACCTTCATGTTGACATAAACAACGAAAATATCAGAAATTCCTTTACTACTGTTTTGTTAGTTTTTAAACTGCCCAGAATCACAATAAATTGAAAATTGTCAGAAAAACATAAGAACATGTTCTAGATTAAAGGATCTCATGAGTGCTCTGCAACATAGATGAGAACAGACCTAGGCAAAGAGTACCGTGAGATTCAAGAAGATGAATGATAAAGAGAAGGCCCTAAATACTTCCCATAACCGTTAGAAAGAAGAGGTGGAATTTTAAAAAGGAAAAGAATGGGTTAGAGCATCAGACTTCTCAGCAGCAATCTTGGAAGCCAACAGAATGTCTTTAAAATTCTGATTGACTATTATTTCCAACTTAAGGTTCTATACCCAAACAAGCTGTCAGTCAAGTGTGAGGTTAGAGAAGAGAGATTGCCATACAAGCAAAGACTCATAAAATGTACCTCCACAGCGTGTTCTTTCTTAGGAAATGACTGCTGCAGCAAAACAAGTGAAAAAAAAAAAAGATAAAAGGTAAAGCCATGGAATCCAGGAAACAACAAATCCTACCTTAAACGGGGATAGAGAAGAATTCCAAGGTGACAGCTGAGCCTTAGCTCTCAAGAGCAATTGGTTTGAAACAAGACAACAAAGAGCTTTAGAAATAAAGAATCTAGAGAAAAGAGACTCAAGAAAAGCTTTTGATATCAGAAATAACTGGAGAAGAGTTTTTAATATGTGGATTGCAAATGGCACAATTGAAAATCAGGCTATTAATAACTCCAGGAAAACTAAAAAGCCATACAATGAAAGAAATGTAATCACAGTCACTAATTGGTGCCACCATTAACAATATATACACAATAGCAATGTAACAACTAAGTATTCACTTAAATAAAGTAGCAATTTAACTATGTGTATAGATTGGGGGAGGAAAACTAAGATAACCAAATCTTCATTTACCACAGAGCTTCTCAACCTCAGCAGTGTGACATTTGGGGCAGAGAATTCTTCCTTGTGCAGGCTGTCCTGTGCACTATGGGGTGGTCAGCAGCATCCCTGCCAGTAGCAACCAGAGGCCAGTAGCACACACCTTTCCCTGAATCAAGACAAACAGAAGTGTCTCCCACCACCAACCCTGAAAGGCAAAACTGCCCACTCAAAGCCCTTTGAGAACCACTTATCTACCACCCCAGAAAGTGCTATTAATATTTTTTACTTAGGAAAATTGGTAAGTCAAAAAAAAGTCACAATATAGGCAACTTTTAGTATTATTTAAGAGCTTCAAGAAGAAACCACTAGAAGTATTGAAAGTGGGCTCAAGGGACTGGATATGGAAAGAAGAGACAGCACGAGAATTTTTTCATATACCTTTACACACTTGATTTTTCTAATTATATGTGTGCACTTTCAAGTTAAAAAATACTGTTGCAGCACAAAAGAAACCATGCTTGTGTCTAGTTTGGGAACTCACTGAAGTCTTTCTCTACAAATCTTTCTCAAAGTGAAACCTTATACTATCACGTTAACTTATTTGATATGCCTGTGTCTTTTCTTTAAACTACATGAAAGAGCTATCACATAAAAACATTTCAAAAAATCTATACATCTTCTAAAGTCATCTGATGTAACACCACCCGTCCACCTACTTCATTGTGGGACAATTTCAGCAAACAATAAAACGGAGATGTTTCTAACCATGACCAGATGGGCTGGATGCCAAGGAATCAAGGCAGAGACCTCCCGTGAGATCCCTGCAGGCAGAGGCACATCGTCATCATTGCTGACTACCTCCTTTTAATGCAAACCACCAAGTCCTTACCTCCACCAACACACATCCTATTCTTCTCCTCTAAGGAATCATGTTCTCTCAGAGAATAACATGAAAAAAACGAGATTACAGCAAGTCACGATAATCTGCAAGTGATGTGCATTTTTTTTTTTCTAGTTCTATTAAAGAAGAAAAAATTTTAGGTGGGGCAATGATTCCCAGCTTCTCAATGCATTTAGTGAACGTCAGTGCCCTTGGCATAGAATAAGTAAATCCATCGCTTTCTCCCCTCATCCTCCTGGGCTCCCGGGATGTGCTTTTTCAACCACCCTGTTCTCTTTGCCCTGGGGCCCCTCCTGCCCTCGGCTCAGCCTGCTCAATCACTAAAGAGGCTAAGGGGCTCTAACATCTCACCAGGTTGACCGGAGAGCTTGCGAATGATTATACAGCATAAAAAACTACTCTGTATGGTTACATGTGAAATACGATAATTATTCATTCAAAAGTGGTCCAACAAGATAAAGGATTTGTGGGGCTGAACCAACCCTAACCAGCCCACGTGAAACTGAGTACAGAGCTTGAAGACCACTTTACACAAAGCTTTAATTAACAGAGCCATTCAGGCAGAGAGGAAAGCAAAAACAGGGATTCATTGATGTACATTTTACCGCTGCCTTCGAATGCCAGGCAACAGAAAACACCGGCCACCTGCCCTGCCCCATAAACATGTTCATCATGGAGCACAGGATTATGCCTTCTGCCACGAGGGACGAGCTCGTTCTTACTATTTAATGTTAGGCACAGATGCAGTTCATTTCACCTGTTTACTACAAGGTCCTCGCTACATAGAACACATAAAAAAAGAACCCCCCAGGTCTTAAGCCAGAGTCAGCACCCTCACATTTTTGCTGTATATTCCAACTAACAGCGGACTTACATGAAATTAAAATGCTACAATTATATCCATTGTCTGATTATATTCATTCTCTAAAGGGTGTTCAACTTCATCTCATCATTTGAGCTCAAAGAGTTGAAAATGCTGCACAAAAATCGAAAAAAGAGGAGGAATTTCCACTTGAGATTTCCCCTTACAACTTTGAATACATGCTATTTCTAATGCCAGTTCTGCGATGCTTAAACTAGCAAAACCAAACTGTTTCCACCAGAACGGTGAATTCCTGAGGGAGGAAAGTTGGAGGGACAAATAACAGCACACCCAGCCCTTGCCTTTCCTCCTGAGCCTCATCTCAGCCTGAGTGTCCTGCCCACAGCCTACCCAAACGGACCCTCGGGACCAAAGGTCTTTTTTAGCCTGATACAGGGCCTGAGGACAGATTTGGAAAGGAATACCCCCAGGGTAGTAACAGTGATTTGAGCCGCAATTAAGACCCAAAGGTTTAGAAACCAGGGGTTATCACAACCCCCGCCACCCTCCCATCCCCCGAGTCTGGAAATGCCTCTTCCCACCTCTCAGTCCAGAGAACAGCCCTTGCTCTACATACAGCCCACAGCCTAGAAAGAGATCAATTTCCCGTCTGTGTCTAAGCTGTATCTCATTAACCCATCGGGCTCTTTCCCCAGCCCCAAAAGCAGGTACTTACAAGGCACCGGAGATCAGTGGTCTAGTGGACCAGACAGACTGGTCCAGGCGTCCCCGCCAGTCCCCCTTCCTGTCCCCGTGGACGCCAGCCTTTCTGAGCCTCGGATGTTTGTGCTCAGCACCCGGCTGGAAGGCTATTTACTTATTCATGGGCTGCCCGAGCCGGCCAGGAACTGCTTTGTGTCAGCTGAATAGGATGGTAATTCAATCTACGAATGGGAGCCGCTGGCACACAGCGCGCCTGTCATAATGAGTCACGGGGGGGACAAGCGCCCGGTGTTCAGAGCCACTGGGAACCTGAACTTCGACAATGAGCTGTGTCACAAGACACCACCTTCCCTTCCTCAGTCGCTCTCTTCCCCGCCGAATCTCCCCACCCCAGATCAACTCTCCTGGAGATGCATGACACAGAATTACATATCCCTGGGAGCGGAGACGGGGAGGTGGGAAATGCCACCTGTTCTCTTGAGCTGTACACACGGAGAGAGGAGAGAGAATTGTTGGGAAGGAATCTGAAGCAAGAAGCGTGGAGTGAGGAAGCGGGAGGAAAAGTTCACCTGCACCAGGAGTGCTCAGGTTTAATGTTTTCCACGCCCTATCTCATGAACTCCTCATCAAAGCCTTTGGAGCAAATAAACGATTAGCTTCAGGCAGGTTAACAATCACACCCAAAGTCTCTGACCAGGGGTCTTTGAGCCCTGGTCTATCTCACACCACAAGCCATATGTTGCCTTTGGTCCAGCAGGTCACCGCATCCAATCCAGAGAAACCTGCCTCTCTTTAAAGATGCCTTTTTTTTTTTTAAGACACGGTCTCACTCTGTCACCTGAGCTGAAGCACAGTGGCGCGATCTCAGCGCACTGCAGTCTCGACCTCCCAGCCTCAAGCTATTCTCCCACCTCAGCCTCCCAAGTAGCTGAGGCTACCGGTGCTCGCCACCATGCCTGGCTAATTAAAAAAAATTTTTCTTTGAGAGATGGGATCTCACTGTGTTGCCCAGGCTGATCTCGAACACCTGAGCTCAAGTAATCCACCCACTTCAGCTTCCCAACGTGCTGGGATTACAGGCCTGAGCCACCGCACCCGGCTGACTCTACCTGTAAACAAATCACTTTCTGTTTCCGATAACAGGGTCTCCAGCACATTAATTAAAGTAACAGAATCCAGAGCACAAGAAAAAGTGAGCTGAGATTCAGAGATGAGAAGACCCCAGCCGGGTGATAGATCCCAGCTCCCCCTACCCCAGGGGGCCACACAGGACGGAACCCATCCCCTCTCCGTTCTCGTCCTGGCTGCTGCTCATGCCTGTGTTCATTGTTTCTTGAGAATTAAGAACATGCCTTCCATCAGATTGCTTTGTTCCAGCCTCAGGAAGCTCAGCAGTTCATTTTCTCCACACCCACTGCATGGGCTGATGGTCACTGCTGTAGAAAAACCATAAGCTGTAGAAAAACCATAAGCCAGGCGGGCCAGTGCCTGGACCTACCTCTGTCCCCATTAGACAGTCAGCTCCAGGAGGGGAGGGACCCTGCTCATTGTATTCTAAGAACCCAGGAGAACATCCGGCCAAAGGAGCTACTGAAACACTTGCTGAGATGCCGAAGGAGTGAAGTCTTCAACCTCTCTGTTGCCTTCCCATATGTAGCAGTGAGGGTAGGCTGGACTCTGCTGTGGTTACAAATAATTCTGATTACAGTGGCTTAAGATCACCTGGGTGCATTGGTGGCACCTGCGCTGTGTCTGCAGCTCTGCTCCAATCATCCCCACCTGGGACGCAGGCTGACGGAATGGCCACCACCCAGGTCACTGCACATCGGCGGGAAGAAGAAGCTCGAGGGGATACTGCTGGCATTGAATGCTGCACCCCAAGACATTGGGGATTTCTGTGCTCTGGACACCAATTCTTGACTCACATGTTATTCATCCAATGCTATCTCATTCTAGCAACTGCTGCTGTTTCCATGCATCATGCACAGGCCCAGATGGAAAAATGGGGCCCAGTGGTACAGTCCCACCTAATATCTGAAAGGGACCTGATGAATGCCCATACGTTTTAATGTCCTTCCAACCCTTCCCCGCTCTATATTCCAGCTTCTGACTTCACTCTCCTGCATTCTCCTACCGGACCCCCTACATCCACTCCACCACCCCCTGCTGTCTTCTCCACACAGCCGACTTGCTAAATGGAAATCTCTGTCCCTTCCCTGTTAAAGTCCCTCTGCCTTCCAGCCTCGGAGTGAAGGTTACCATGCCACTCATGACCTGGTTCCACTAAGCCCTCAAGGTTCATGTCTTGCCACCACCCACCCTTTCCACGCTTTATGATGAACTACTCCTTCCAAGATCTCAAACGGAGCCTTTGGCCTTTCTTGGTCAGACCTCACACTTGCTGTCCCCCAGCGAGGCTGGTCTACCCTCCTTGTCCCGACACACAGCTGCCTCTATTGTCTTTCGGGCAGATGTCACTTCGCCCAGGAATCCCTCCCTCTAAGACCCTTCATCTGTGTTCTCATGGAATCTTTCCTCCCTAGCGGTGCCCTCAAGCACCAGAGATTCCTAATTTCCTAACTACCTATTGGTGGTCTTCACAAAACTAGGACCAAGTGGAGATGAGTGGTTGTATTTGTCTTATTTACCAGCTGGTTCTGTGCAGGTGCCAGGACCCCAGCGTTGCTTCTTACCAGCTGAATCACCTTGAACGTTCATTAGACCTCACTGAACCTCAACTGACTCAGCTATGAAGTAGGTAAAATAGTATCACCTAATCCAAGGGCTTCTTGAATGGACTAGATGAGGTAATAACCACATAGCTCTTAGCCCAGTGTTGGGCATGTGCCAGATACTCGCACACTATAGAAGAAATGAATGGGTGGGGAAATGAGTGAACACAAACCTATCAGCCAGCTCCATGACATGAGCCCAGCAAGGGAGGAATGTTAGCCTGGCATTACAGAGAGTTTGGGTGTGGAGTCAGCACTGCAGAGAGCAGCACTGAGCTATGAGGAGAAACCAAGACCTGACAGCATTACTGAAGCCCCTGGATCAAGCCGTAACTGAAGCTGGTTACAGCTGGGTTTTTCAGTTGTGTTTCAACGCATTCCCTTTTAGGATTAAGTCAGTGTAATTAGGTTTTCTGCCACTTTTAGTAAAAGCCCAAACCAATACACACCTAGTAGTGTTGTGGGGACAGTGTCTTGTCACCTTGTTCTGGGTACGGAACAGCAAAGAATCATGAAGGTGTGTGTGCCATGCCTGTTCAGCACCATCTCTTTGGCTCCAGGTTGCATTCAAATGTTAAAATGGGAAAGTGTTCATAGCAGTATATACAGAAAATTCCACACTTCATAGCCATCGGATCTTTGCGCTGAGATGTTCTGCAGAGCTGCATCCTGTTTTCCTGCCTCTGCTGCCTCATCCTGTCCTCAGATCACCTCTCAGCAGAGGCTAAAGCCCCACCGCATCTCCCCACCCCATCACCATTTCAAATGCTTATCACCAGTTGCCCCGGTAGAATGGGAGGCCCCGGGAGTAGAGGCCTTGTTGGTCTCACAGCCCCTCCCAGCCTAGAGCAGTGCCTGGAACGCAGGAAACACTGGATCAACACATGTCAAGTGAATGAATGAATGCATGCCTGAGACAGCACATCGGACTGGAGGATCCACAATGCTTTAGTGTAATTAGTCATGCAATTAGTGAGTCCAAGAAGTAGCCCCCATTAAAGTGAAAGTAATGTAAACCAACTCTGGGAACATATAATAAGAATAATGTGATTAGAACCAAAGCTTCGAGTCACAGTTAGGGAATCCTAAAATTAATGAAAATAAAGAATTGATCAACATATCCCCTGTACTGTCTGCCGGGAGCAAAGGGATTTGTGGGACTTGGTTAGAACCAACCCTGATGCCTAACAGAATGAGGTGGAGCCACGATATCCTGGTGTAAATGTCCTTCCGGCAACAGTGTCCTCTTCCCCATTTGTTGTTTATCGAGAAACCTTCGGGCCTAGCTTGGGGTACCTTCCTGTACAGCTCATGGGAAAGGAGAGGAGGAATGTGCAGATTTCCTGGGTCCTACCGGCTTTACTGACTTTGGTTATTAAGAAGATAATATTCTGCTTGGTAAAAAAGTTACTTAGGGACTTTGGCCAATGTTTTGGCGTTGACTGTGTAGACAGTTGAGAAAATCAGGCTTCTTGCAATGCAAACTTAATGACCATGGGTTCTAGTGTCCTCTGAATCCACCCCCAGCTGCTTTGGTATAGTGGCATCACCAACATCTAGTTGCTAGAATGAGCAGGCATTGGATGAATAACTTGTGAGTCACGAAATTGGTGTCCAGAGCACAGAAATCGCCAATGTCTTGCCTTCTTGATTTCTCCAGGGTCTCCCCAGACGAACACACATTAAAGCCACCCTGTTTGGGAATAGACACCGATTAGGTTCAGCTTAGAATTACTCCCATGAGCAACCAAGATGTCTTTCATAGGCGAATGAATGGTACATCCAGATACTGGAATAACTCAACACTTTAAAAAATAAGTTATCAAGCCATAAAGAGACATAGAGGAGCCTTCATTGCACATTACTAAGTGAAAGAAGTCAGTCTGAAGAGGTTACAAACTGTACGATTCCAACTCTGTCGGGGGTCCCGAAGCCCCGAGCTGCGGGCCGGTAAGGGTGGCCTGTTAGGAATCGGGCCGCACAGCAGGAGGTGAACGGTGGGTGAGCGAGCAACCCCCTGAGCTCCGCCTCCTGTCAGATCATCAGGCATCAGATTCTCATAGGAGCACGAACCCTACCATGAACTGCGCATGGGAGAGATCTGGGCTGCCTGCTCCTTATGAGAATCTAACGCCTGGTGATCTGAGAGTTCATCCTGCTCCTTATGAGAATCTAACGCCTGGTGATCTGAGAGTTCATCCTGAAATCTAACGCCTGGTGATCTGAGAGTTCATCCTGAAACCTTTCCCCCTCCCCATCCGTTGTCTTCCATGAAACTGATCCGCGGTGCCAAAAAGGCTGGAGACCATGAACTACGGCACATTGTGGAAAAGGCAAAACTATGGAAATAGTTTTAAAAAAAAATCAGTAGTTGCCAGGAGTGAGGGGGAGGAAGGGAAAAACAGGTAGAACAGGAGGGATTTTTAGGGCGGTGGAACTACTGTGTCTGATGCTATGACAGAAACACACCTGTCAAAGCCATAGAAGGCACAAGACAAGGAGTAAACCTTAGTGTAAACTATAGACTCTAGTTAATAATAAAATATCAATATTGGATCATCAACTGAAACAAACGTACCACACTAATAATAGGGGAAACTGTGGGGTCAGGAAGAGGGGATGCTTGGGAACTCCCTGTACTCTTTGATCAGTTTTCCTGTAAACCTAAAACTGGTCTTTTAAAAATAGTCTGGCCGGGCACGGTGGCTCACGCCTGTAATCC